TTTTCTTTAGTTCTGTTAAACCTGACAGTTTAAAGTAATAAATATGAAAAGCAAGTGGTATAATATTAAAAAAAAATATAGAGACAGAGTGGGAGTTTGATATATATATTAATTCTCTGGACTTGTTGGGTAAAATCCATTTAAAATCCTAATAATTATTTTACAAATTGACTTGCATATGAATATATTTGGAAATGGCTATAAGTACGCTGTCCAGCTGTTTGTTGGTTGAATGTTTAGAGTTGGTGTTCAAATCTGGCATAAATCACTGCAGCCCAAACCATCCACAATTTTTTTTTTTTTTTAATAAATAAATCATGTTTAAACTTTAATTTAATCCTGATAATTTTTTATTAAGGGATGATATTTCATTTGTACGTCATCAATTATTTACAGAAATAATACTCATCATTTTATTCTCTGTCTTGATGACTTAAAAGTCTGGATCATAGATTTTTACATTACATAGTTTAAACATTTAGCCAGTTAGATGTTTAACTACTTGCCTACACCACCCCAAAAAAGTGTAACACTCAGATCGTCAAAGGACTGGTGGTATGTGTTCTGTGTGTGTGTGTGTGCGTGTGTGTGTGTGTGTGAGGATCTTGGCATGCATGCAGAGAATAATAAATGATTATACTGCTGGCAGTAACAGTGCTTGTAAATCATGCTGTTTGGATGCTCTTATGCATCCAGTTACCAGATGAGAAACGGAGCTTGGTATGGTTTTCTTATGCATTAGAAAACTGTAAAACACTGAATGATATGCTACTGGTACATATTTTTTTTTAATTATTATTATTATTATTATTTTATTTTTTTCCATTTACAATAAGGTTAATTACATTAACATTAGCTAATGTGTTAGGCATCATTAAATAACAATGAGCAATATTTACAGCTTGTCAATCTATATAGGTTTATCAATATCCTATTCTTCGTCAGTAATTCATATTAATTCATAAAACATAAAGTATTAAAAGATATATTAACATTAACCAAGATGATTAAACAGTGTAAAAGTGTTGTTCATTGTTATGTCTTGTTAGCTTTAATATAAACATATAACCTATTTGTAAGGTGTAATTATTATTTAAAATAAATATTTTCTCAAGGAATAGCCTGGCTGATTCTCTTCCTAAAAGAAAACCTCACATTTTCCACCTTTGAAGGAGAGCACAATGAAAATATCTGCGCATATGTGCAAGTGTGCTGGCATGCTTTAAAGTTTGATGAAGAGCATATAATATGTATGTCGTTCCATGTGATGTAGTGCACTCGGTACATATGTATGTATGTGTGTGTGTTCTGCTGGTGTTTGATGTAGAGTGAGTTCTACCTGTGGAGAGTGTGTGTAGTAATCAGTCCCATCTGTTCCGACTCAGCCAGTAGCCAGATTGATGTCAGGGAGTGAACACACACACACACACACACACACACACACACACAATATGAAACCTTTAATGGTGTACATGATCGTGTGTGTGTGTGTACAGGTGTATTGGCTGCACAAGATCCATCTGCGCCAGTGTAAACAGGTCCCATGTGCAGGAGATCGGTATCAGTTATCTGAGGAAAGTGGCATTTAACTTGAAATTCAGAAACACTGAGTAATGACACAGGAGTGGAATTTGTATAAAATGAAAGAGAGAGAGGCCTTGGGGTGTGGAGGAACTTGTTGACACTATGTGTAAAGCACCATCAGAGGTAGCTGTGATCCTTCATTTGAATTTATTACACCAAAGGTTCTAGCTATTTCTACAAAAACACCACCTGATAATAATAAAGACTGTACTGTGATGTCCAAAATGCCAACGTAGCATATAGTGGCCCCTAAAAGTGTGGACACTTAATCAAACTTAATGTTTGAATGTCATTGCATTAGATAACAAAATGTCAAACCTAGTTGAATCTAAATCTAAATAATGCAGGTGTTCTCAGAACTAACATTTCTTTTCTGAGACATTTTTGCAATTACTTTTAATCAGCTTGTCTATGGGTAATTTTTTAGTAAAGTCAGTTTCCATTGAGTGTCCATGAAGAGTGAACTCCAGGTGTAGCTCATCACATAAAACATGTTTCACATTTGACATGTCTCATTTCACCATTTTGTTGTATATGTATTAGTGCGTTTAGTGCTCTACAAGTATGCTGAATATGCACAGTCTATTGTATAGTATATCTCTCATGTAGTACAAGTATAGCTTTTGTTTTAACGATTTAAACTTTGATTTTATTTTTTGTGTAAAAGTGTGCTATATTTCTTCACAATAAAAAATATTATTTGTATTGAAATTTTGTTATCTTTAATGCAGTTACATAAATTCATTTCATAAAGTGTCCAAATAATTTTGTCTTAATTGTTTTATATTTTAAAACCTAAAAATGTATTTTTTGAGAAAAAAAAGAAAAGTTTTCTATATTTCTTTACAATTAAAGACAATTGGGTGCTATATGTTAATATACATTGTCGTTCAAAATAAGTAGTATTTGCTCACAAGGCTGCTTTTATTTGATCAAAAATACAGTAAAACAGAAATATTGTGAAATGTTATTACAATTTAAACTAACTGTTTACTATTTTAATATATTGTAAAAAGTAATTTAATCCCGAAACGGCAAAGCTGAATTTTCAGCAGTCAGTGTCACATGATCCTTCAGAAATCATTCTAATATGCTGATTAGGTTGTGTTTTCTGGATACAGTGTGTGTGTGTGTGTGTGTGTGGGATACAATAAATGGGGCCACTGTATACATAGCACTGGATTATACATGTAAATATTCTTTCCGTTTTCTAATACCATCAATCTGTCTGATTTCATCATTACTAAAGAGCTTTTTTGTTACTGGTTATAGATATTCTTCCACACAGAACTATTTATTTTCTCTTCCCTCTGATATAATTGTAGAGCTGTTGAATCGCATAGGGTATCCTTTCCCGAAGGCCGCTCTATGGGTTTTGAGTTTCGTGTCCAAATGTGTGAGGAGTGAATTTATTAAGCTATAGAAGACTTTTCAGGCATTCCTTCTGGTCTGACTAGAAAGCAGGATGTGGAAAAGAAGGAGAGAATAATTGCTTTGTGGTTAATCTGAAAGATTAGTGAATATTTGCGGGATGAATGCGCAGTTGAGCAGAGGTTCGAGCAGCTTTACGGTGGGAACGTCCACTGTAATGGGAGGCTGCTGCCCAAAAGCCCTGACCTGAGATCAGATTACGTTCCCTACGTTTCCTCATCCACAATTAACTATCAGAGGGAGCAGAGCATATAAAAGTGCACTCAGAACATTCACTTTGCCTGCTTTCTCGATTGATTCTCCATTGTTTTCCTCCTCAGATGTAAAACGTAAAAGCATAAACAAAAGTTTTCGAATTTTATGAAACTCAATGAGTGCATATTTCCTGAACTTTTTTTTTTGTTCTGTTCTCTCCACTGTGAGTGCTGGGAGTTTATGGGTTTACATTAGAGCAGAATTCATGGACTACAGACACTCATAAAAGTGACAGTATGCAGCACCGCCATATAAACTCTTACAAGCTCAACTGCACTGAGGCTCTCAGCTACTGGGGTCGATTTAAGAAAACCTCTTTCTCTCCCCCTCTCGTTCTCGCACTGTTTACTTTACATGCCTTGGGCTGAAATATGGGAGGGAAAATAATTGAAAGCAAAGTAATTTATTAGCTGTGTTCTCCAGTTCTCTGCTAATGCCAGTGCAATAAGTAGCAGCTAATGTAGAGGGGGGAGGCGGGTGGGCTTGCAGCGCTGACGGATGAGTGCAGCTATGCTCCGAAACATTCCTGTGTTACGGCCGAACCCTGGAGAACTGTATTCTGGTCCAATGCATTCCAATGCTGTGTCGCATCCACACATAAAACAAATGTATCCAAAAACAGCCCTCCTCCCTGACTCTCTCTCTCTTTTCCTGCATTTTTTTTTTGTTTTTTTTTTGTTTTGTTTTGCGTTTATGTTTGTATCAGCATTTGTTACAGCCTCTCTCTTTGTTTACCATCACAGAAAGAGCATCTGTGTCTCTGGAAGAAAATGGAATTTACTTCATATGTTATTTATAGCAGTGGTCTTTCCAGAATGTTCACATTTTCAGCTAAACAAAATATAAATATTACAAAAGTAATGTCCAGAAAGCCCCAGAGAGTGATGCAGGATGCTATTAAGTGTAGTTATGTGGATTGTTATCTTTTGAAAAGAACAGAGAGATAACGTTGATTAATTAGAAGAAAGAACATTGTGAACTCTCCATCTGAGGATGACACCACCCTACACATCTCAACACTGGCTGTCAAACCAAACAAACCTAAATGGATTTCTCTTGAGCTCAAGCTAGGTCTCAAATGTTGCCAGAAAAAGCAGCCATTATAAACCCTTTTTACACTGCTATATGTAATACTTGACTTCTGATTGGTGTTGTAACTATACTACCATAACTTATACTCTTGCGCTTCTATGTATGTTAGCTAAGTTCACACTCCAGTGAGTCTCCAGTCGACTACAGCCGAGTCGATAATTCTAACTTACTTGTTTTCCTGCTGCGCAGCTTAAATATCAGACAGACTTGAGTTATTAAAGGATTCTGCTTTTTATTCTTGACATCAGAGAATCTCAACCCAAAAGAATAATACGACAAACTTTATAGAATAAAGCCAGATACATCAAAATAGAATCATCATGACTAAAAATGTCACATTCTTTCAATGTGATTGTTTAAATTGTTTAAAGCAAGCATCCCCCCCACACACACACACATGCCCCTCCCCCCTCTTTTCATTACCTTCTGTTAGTGACATCAGCAAAAAATATCCTGTATCATCAAAAAACATTAATATTTCAGTCAATCATTTCACAATACAAGAACGGAATGTTCAGTCCATTTTCAAAGTTCCATTGACCAAGGTTACTTTGAGTCAGTGGCGGTTCTAGGATTTTTCTGTAACAGGGGCCATTAAGGGGCCAGATGTTACAATCAGGGGCCAAGTACAGGGTACATCCATGCACACAAAATAATTTATTCAGTACGGTGCAAATACAGTTCGGCAGTTATTAATTTTTCAAAAAAATGTGCCAGTAAAGTTCTTAATTATTTTTTTTATTTATTTATGGATATAAGACTGCTCCAAACACAGAATACTGCAGCCACGTAAAGTCTTTTGCCAGGTCTCAATGAATGCTCTCTTCCTGTTCCCATGCTGTGTCTTGGGGTAAACCTTGAGGACAGGTTGCACTGGACCATCTGCTCTGGACTGGGAAATGTCTGGAGAGAAGCAAAAAAAATAGATTTTTTTTATAACTTCTTTCTGAATTCGACATTTTAAGTTTTATAATAATGTTGTCGCTTATAAACAGTAAATTATTGTTAATTAATGCATAATTTGTTAAATGTCCATTGACAACTTCAACAGGATGAAAATATAGGCATACCATCAGGTCCAGGTGGAGCAGCACAACTTTTCTGCTAGGCACCAGGGAATGTCTACAAGAAGCAAATGAAAAAAAATTAAACATAACCACTGAGTCTTCTGAAAATTATGTTAATATGAGTAGTTATATTATTGCTAACATTTCTGGTTCTAGCTGCTAGCAGAAACATCCATTTTGGCATCATTATGTTCAGACCCTCAGCAAGCAGTACACTTCTTCTCGTTGCAGTTTCATTGAATACCATTTAATACATAACATTGTGTTTCTATCATCTGGCTTTGCCTACATCATGTTTTATCTGATCTGGTGAAGAGGGGTTTGGGCTACCCTGGTCTTCAGCTGCCTGCTGGTTGATTCTGTCCTCTGACGTCCCCTTGCTTAAACCATCACTTTTAGTAGTATCATCATATATATCTATGAGTATCATAGGTTAATCTTGTAAAAAAAAAAAAAACTCTGAATAGCTCCCTGTGTCTGTCCCTTTTTTCATGCTCACTATCTGCCAAACAAGATAGTTAACATTATCACAAAGGTATAATTACATACAAGGCTGTTAGTGAATGCATAAACTTTCTAAAAACTCTATAACCTTTGCTAGCGCTATCTTAACATGTTAACATTGCTAACAACTTTAACAAGTCTTCCACAATTAAGTTAACAAACCTAAAATAAGTAAGAGCAGCAGCTAAAATATACTTTCATATTTTAATGACAACCAACACAAGGATTTGTGACTCACCAAAAGTTGTCTCTAAGTTGGATTACTGTTTGATGGATTATGTCTCATGTATACAGGCAACATCACCGACGATGTTCTGGTAGTCAAAAGTTCCGATTTTGCGCATTAGTTTCAAGCACTGCTTCTTCTCCCAAATTACATTGCCACATTACTACCGCAGTGCCGCCAATTGTTTGGGGGTGGAATTGCATCTGTGATCGTTGTGGAAAAAAATTCTCCGGTTGCTCTTCTCGTCGACGATTGATGGAAGGGGGGCCAATCAGGGGCCAATCAGATTTCAGCAGGGGCCCAGGCCCCTGTGGCCCCGCCTCTAGAACCGCCCCTGCTTTGAGTCAAAAGTTTGTTAGAAGGTTAGTCATTTCGAAAGTCTGGTGGCTACATCCTAAATGAAAGGAAGTAAGATTTATTTTGGTTTATTGTTTGATCTAGAATGGAAAGTGTAGTCACCATCAGACATACAAATGGGAAGTGTGATAAAAGTTTATCATAAGATGCTTCATCTAACATCAGAGGATTTTTATGGTTAGTAACATAACTAAAGGGATAGTTCACTTTGAAATTAATTTTTGATATGTTTTAGCTTACCTCAAGGGGATCCAAGATGTAGGTGTCTTTGTTTCCACAGCATTTTCAATTTTGACCTTTTTTGGTCAAACCGTTGTTGTCTGTGAAGGGGGTCCTCAATCGGTTCACCTTAAAGAGCATGCACAGAGAAGTCAAAATTAAACATAATTTAATGACTCGTACATCTAAGTACACATTGATGGCCTAAGACACGAAACTACACATTGGCTACGTTCACACTGCAGGGCTTAATGCTCAATTCCGATTTATTTAAAAAATTCGGGGGTTTTTTTGCAAGGCCGTTCAAATTTCCAATTAAATGCGACCTTTTGTGATCTCCTGTGTGAACGTGAAATGACCCAGAAGTGACCCGCATGCGCAGAAGAGTAATCAACGGTCAACGACGTCACTTGTTGTTTGCGGAATAGTTCTTTTTTTCCATATGTTGCGAGCTTTTGTTTTATTATTGCCACAGCCCATATACAAACAGACAACAATTATTTTATCGACGGGCAAGGTTTGCACATAAATGTAAGATTTTTCCGATCCTCACCGACCTCATCATAAAACCCGTTTGATAGTGCGCGTCCTCGGCGCTCCTTGCTTTGTCACCGGCGGCCGGCGGCCGCGGTGCGACACTGGTGGCTGGTGTTGCCATATTGGGTGTTTTTTCGCTACATTTTAAGGCATGTTTACATGTTTTAGCCAGGTTTTCGCCTGGAAGGCTCTATAGAAATCTGGCACCCTACTGTACGAAGTTAAACTGACAGAGAGCGCAAGTTCACAGACACCAGAATGAACGTGTTCACAGTAATGTTCATCAGGCAGTAATATGAACTCGTTTTTGCACTATCGTTCATTGAACGCGTTCAGGCACAACACTGGGGAAGAGACATGTCTGCAGCGGCCCATAACAGTGCGGAAACGCGTTGGAGTTAGCGTGTATTGGCTAGCTACAGGTGCGTGCAATGACGTGCGGGTCGGATATATGTGACCTGGCCGTTCAGATTGAAGTTGCATTTCAAAAGATCGGATACATATCGGATTTGGACCACATACCCAAGTGGCCTGGGTCGCATTTGAAATGATCGGATCTGTGTCATTCAGACTGTCATGAAAAAATCAGATACAGGTCGCATAGGGGCAAAAAAAAAATCGGAATTAGGTCGTTTCAGCCTGCAGTGTGAACGTAGCCATTGATGGCCTAAGACACGAAACGAGCGGTTTGTGTGAGAAAACGAACAGTATTTATATCGTTTTACCTCTTGTAATCATAGCCATGACAAAATGATCTGACGGCACGGGCGCTTCGTTCTGCGCATGCGCTGGAAGTGATCGCTTGCGCGCCTACGTCACTCTTTGTTTATACAGAGATTTCAGAAGTTTTTACGGGAAACCGCAATAGAAGACGATTTCGGTATATCTAAATATGTTTAGTAAAAGGTAAAACTTCCGGAATCTCTGTGTAAGTATTGAGTGACGTCACACGCAAGCGATCACTTCCGGCGTAACATTGAACTGATTCAGTTCGGTTCAGTTGGACATTGCACAACTGATTCAGATCACTTGGATTTCACGAGGTAAAAACTATATAAATACTGTTCGTTTTCTCACAAAAACCACTCGTTTCGTGTCTTAGGCCATCAATGTGTACTTACATTCACGAGTCATTAAATCATGTTTAATTTTGACTTCTGTATGACTGATATACAACAACGGTTTGACTGAAAAATGTCACAATTGAAAATACTGTGGAAACAAAGACACCTACATCTAGGATGGCCTTGAGGTAAGCTAAAACATATCAAAAATTAATTTCAAAGTGAACTATCCCTTTAATCTTATCTATTAAAAATCAACCACATTGGTCAGTTGTGACATTCAGTAGTCAATTTTTTCCTAATATTCGCTGTCATCCATGGAAATACATGCAGTGCAAGACACAGCAGACTTATGCTCTCTTGAAAGAAAACGCAAACACAACTGGTGGCAACTTGCGTCTAATTATTGTTTCCTTTCCTTTAAATATTTTATTTTAATATTGAAGCAGTGTATACACTTTGTAATCTATTATTTTGTTTCTAGAAAATAGACAATTATAGGTTAAATTATAAAGTCCACATTTTTATTTATTTGCACAGTAGCTTTGCAATGATAAGGATAATGTAGAGTCAGCAGGTCATTATTGTAAAATAAACAAAGGCACGATGACCAAGACCCTCACAGTAAGCGATTGACAGAATTAGATGAACATACTCTTCCCAAACTTTCCTCTAACTCAGTTGGAAATGAGACACTTCTCATGGAGGTTTTTCAAGGAGAACAGTACTTCCTAATTTTGTATTCGACGTGTAATTTATCTACCTTGTGAGTTATGTAGCGCAGCATTTAATATTGGCCCAACCTTATGTGTAGGGTTGAATCTTCATATCCTGGACTTTTACACCTGGGCTAAATAAAAAAAAATAGACACATTCTGTGATTTAGGAATGGCTGATTTTGCCAAAACTAACAGATCACATTTTGCCTTAATTTCTTCTGTGTTACAACAGACCCAGAAAGCCGAAGGCTAGACTTGGATTTCATTCAGATTTCTGAGTGGCACATAGAAAGCGAATGCAGTAAATCTAGGCCGGAGTGGAAGGCCTGTTATTCCTCCCATCTCCAAAATAAATGAGCTCACTAATTAATAGCAAGACGAAATCATGTAAATCCTCTCCCATTGTTTTGCTTCAAAGAGAGAACAGCATGTACCTAACAAACACAGAGACATGCCTATACACGCAAACAGAAGATGAGCTTGAGATTTGGAAGGAGCGATACAAATTGAAAACAGGAAAGGGTAAGGAATTGCACAGGAGGACATATCCGAACATATTAAACAAACAGTCTTTAAAATAAAATAAAAAAGAAATTTGAATGAACTGCATCGGCACAACAGTATGCAAAATTTTCAAAATGACATATGCTGAATATGAGAATTGACCATTTTAGACAGTGTTTCAAGATGTCTCTTGAATTTCGATGAATTTGTGCTTTTGGCCACCAATAATAATTATGTGGTCACCACAAACCATATTTATTATCTTGTTTCATGGTTTTGTTAATGGTTTCTAAGCATTAGGACACATTATGCAATCGTTCCATGTTGGCATCTGCCTAATTTAACTGGCTGAATGAAATTGTGCCAAAATACTGCAGGATTTGTTTCGTTGCAAAACCTTTGAAGTCAACAATAAAAGATGCATAAAGAGTTTTCTACTCCCTCTTAAAAGTTGAAAGTCTATTTATGTTGCCTGTATCATACCCTTTCCTTATTATGTGCTTAATTGCATTTTATGACTTACATTTAGATTTTTTCCCCTTTTTGTCAGGAATTGGACCTGTGATCCACTTTCAGTTTGCGGTCCTCAGTTTAGAACCGTTATGTTAATACCGGACCCATCATGAAACTCTTTGCCTTAGAATCACAGATTTAGACTTAGGTTACATGATTATTATGAAAATCTGTCATCAGCAATGTTTGGCCTGGAGAACAATACACATACTAAAATTCAAATTGGTATGGTAAGGGGTTGTGTATCTCCTCTTGCCTACAGGTACAAAAACATCCCCGGTGAATATGCACATATGTTTGTAAACAAAATGTTACTGGGTGCATCTGTCAATCCAGATTCAGTATCTACATAATGGAAATGTTAAGCAATCCTATTGTTCTTTACTGATTTTAATATCTGAGAATTTTTAGGTTTTGAAGTTCCTGTGGTGACAAAACAGAAAACCTCTCTATCCACATCCCTCATGGGTCTATGCATGCGAAATGCAAACTCCTTCACAGAGACAAGAATAATTGTCAGCAAAGATGGGTCCATAGCCAGAATGTTTGAGACCTTCAAGGTAATTCAGTGTGAGGATTACTTCCCCACATGGTGTGAAGTATTTTGAACAAACTGTATTTGAGTCTCTTAATGTAAAAGAAATGTGTTCTCTTCAGGCATGTACACTCACCTAAAGGATTATTAGGAACACCAGTTCAATTTCTCATTAAAGCAATTATCTAATCAACCAATCACATGACAGTTGATTCACTGCATTTTGGGGTGTGGTCCTGGTCAAGACAATCTCCTGAAATCCAAACTGAATGTCAGAATGGGAAAGAAAGTTGATTTAAGCAATTTTAAGTGTGGCATGGTTGATGGTGTCAGAAAGGTTGGTCTGAGTATTTCCCAATCTGCTCAGTTACTGGGATTTTCCACACACAACTCCATTCTAGAGTTTACAAAGAATGGTGTGAAAAGGGGAAAACATCCGGTATGCAGCAGTCCTGGGGCGCGGGGGGGGGGGATGTTGATGATGCTAGAGGTCAGAGGAGAATGGGCCGACTGATTCAAGCTTATAGAAGAGCAACTTTGACTGAAATAACCAGGTATGCAGCAAAGCATTTGTGAAGCCACAACACGCACAACCTTGAGGCGGATGGGCTACAACAGCAGAAGACCCCATCAGATACCACTCATCTCCACTAGGAAAAATAGGAAAAAGAGGCTACAATTTGCAAGAGCTCACCAAAATTGGAATGTTGAAAACTGGAAAAATGTTGCCTGGTCTGATGAGTCTTGATTTCTGTTGAGACATTCAGATGGTAGAGTCAGAATTTGGCGTAAGCAGAATGAGAACATGGATCCATCATGCCTTGTTACCACGGTGGAGCCTGGTGGTGTAATGGTGTGGGAGATGTTTTCTTGGCACACTTTAG